GCTGCTTTGACCAGCTGTTCATCAATCACTACTGAAATGAGGGATGCAATCTGCCCATACTTTTGTAAAAGCTTTCTTTTCTTTCTTCACTTAACTGACCCTAGACAGCAGCTAACTTTTTTAAACCATTCTGTGTGAGATCTAAATGCACTTTCTCGGGTAATTCAGACACATAACTGATAGGCAAACAATCTCCATTCTTTTGTTGAACTTCTTTGGACTAAACATGTACTTCATTATACGATTCACATGGCACACTGACTGAGGATGAGCAAATTTGTAGTTCTACGGGATCCATGAAAACTTCTTAGGAGAAATATATCCTAGAGCAAATATCTCGATGCAAAACTATATGATATGATTAATGCAAAAAAAAAATGAAACAAAATTGAGTTAGTGTGGTTCGAAAAAAAAATATTTTTTATTTTTTTAGTTTTTTTTTAGATTTTTTTATGTTTTGTTTTGTTTCATATTATACACAACTTTTATTCTTAGGTATTTCCTACAAGAAGATGGACAAGGCTCTACATAAGGCTGGTTTCTTAAGCTTATTATATGTTAGGTTTGGATTGACAGGGTCTAAAGGTTCTCAAATTATTCCTCACTGTCATCCATGATGGACTAGTAAGGCACCCCGATCCTCACCCATTACAGGCTACAAACAAAAATGGTTCAATTCAAGTGAAAGTATTTCGCTTGTCATTGCGGAGGTTATTACCTCACGAGAGCAATAGATACTTTACTTCCTTCTATAAAGGACGGAGCTTGGGTATAGAGCTCATGTATGAGATGTATCGTGCCATTGTGTGCAAATATATGCTAATTTATTGAGAGCAATATATACAAAAAAATAAAACAGAAGAGGCATAGTAAAAGAAATGTGTGTGAGTTTTTTTTTTTTGTTTTTTTGCTTTTTATTTTTGATTTGTTTTGTTTTATTTATTTATTTATTTATTTTTACTAAAAATGAAGAATAAAAATTTAAGAAATTGATTAGGACTATTTAAATCAAAATTTGAGGATAACAAGTAGTTAATTTTGGCCTGACTCTAAAAAATAAATGGCGTCCCCAGTGGAGTCGCCAAGCTGTTGTAACGTTTTGTATCCGCCCAACGAATTTGGAAATAAAAAAAAAATAATGGAGTCACTAGCAATCTTTTTTCGCTAAGTGTGATTGGCCATCTATTAAAACATATCTTTTTAATGAAATTTTAAAATTAATTAACATTTATTAAAAAGATAATTTTAGGGTCTGCACAACAGTTTGGGTTCGATAGTCGATTACGTGTGGGGAAGGATTAGCACCCCCACAGCGCCCGTTAAAAACGGTACCAATTAACAACGTGTTATCCTTTGATTTTGATAAAAATAGTCCAATTTTATGTGTTCGAAAAATAATTTCCTTGATTTTTTTTATTTATTAAAAAAAATTTATTCTCGAGAAAAATAAATTAAAACCTTTTTATTGAAATAATTCTTAAAATGTTTTAGTACGTTGGTAACATTAGAAGAACTCTTTCTCACCTAGAGATTTTTTAAAGCATTTCTACACGGAATACTTTTAAAATCTCATCTTTGGAGGCTCGAATTTATTTTTCGTAAGAAAATGTCATGCATGCAATGCAAAATGTTACCATGTTTATGCACGCATTTTATTCTCCTTTGTTAGAAATTTTATTAATTATTTTATTAATATTCTTATTTAAAATTAAAATTTTGAAAAAAAAAAGAATTTAATTATATTGAAGATTTTCTATAAATATTTCAATACGCTGGTAATATTTTACACAAAATCTTCTCACCTAGAGATTTCTTAAAGCATCTCTACTCGGAATACTTTTAGAATCTCATCATTGGATTAAATTTCTTTCATTCCTATTTTTATTACTTATATTTTTAATTTATTAATCAATTTTTATTTATTACTAAAAAAAAGAAAATCTTTACTGTATTGAAAATTTTTTATAAATACTCCAATACACTAGTAATATTTTTAAAAAAAATCTTCTCACCTAGAGATTTCGTAGGCATCACTACTCGGAATACCTTTGAATCTCATTGTCGGATAAAAATTTCTTTTTCCTACATTTTTTATTAGTTTAGTATTATTATTAATTGTATTTTTATATTATTTTTTTAAAGTTTATTTTAAAAATTAACATAATTATATATAAAAAATTTAACCATAATTTTATCATTTAATCTAACAAATATAAATATTTTAATATGCATAAATATTAATAAAATAATATATAAAAAATTCAAAAAAATTCAAAAAAAAATTTTTTTACCTGAACCGGACCGGTCAATGGTTCGGTCAACGCGCGGTTCAGTTCGATGGTTCAATCCGGCGGTTCAGTTAGGCGGTTTGATCTAGTTTGGGTGGATCAGATGTTCAGTACCAGTTCGATTCGATCTGGGCGGTTCAGTTTCGATCCAATCAGACCGGTCAGAGGCTGACGGAGAAGTGGATCGTCGGGTTGGGTGCGCGGACCCCGAGTTTGGTTGCGGGTTGACGCGCGGATCCTCATTGACTGAAATGGCGTCGTTTTGGCCCTATGTTCAAAACGACGTCGTTTTGCTTTTAATGATTTCTATAAATAACTGAAAAAAAATTTTTTACTCATTCTTTTGGTTTTACAAAAAAAAAAAAAAAGGGAAGGGAGCTCTGGGGTGAGCTCACCGACTGGTCGTCGGACCACCGCATCGATCACCGTCTGGGTTACCGCTGGCAGTCTCTGTCGGTGGTTTTTTCTCTTTTTTTTTTTTGGTGGACAGAATCGACTGATCTCTTTTCTTTTGTATAGGTGGCTTTTCTGGCGCTGGGTTCCCCTGCTTGGAGACTGTGATTTTGCCCTTTTTTTATGTTTCTGTAGAATTTTTTTTTCAACAGATTTTTTCCTTTTTTTTTTATCGTTTTTGCTTCCGTTTCCCCTTTTTCGTTTGCAAATAACAAGCTCTATTTATAGAGCTTTTTGGGGTTCAAATCCCATATCTTTTAGGATTCAAATCTCATTTTTTTCAACTGAAAAATCATGCCTGCCGTTCGTGACTGGCGGCTGGTCGATCGGCCGTTGGCAGCTAGCAACGGTAATTTTGACTTTAGGGATTGTGTATTTAATACATTAGATTTGAATCGGATAAGGATGAGGAATAAGGGAAAAGGAAGGAAGAAAGAAAGAAGAAGAAAAGAGAAGAAGACAAACGTAAAAAACAAGAAATAAATAAAATAAATAATAATAATAATAATAATAATAATAATAATAATAATAATAATAATAATAATAAAATAAATAAAAAAATGGTGTTTACAAATATAAAAGTTGAAATGAAATAATTTTAAATTTTAAACAACTATTTTAACAAGTGTTGTAAAAAGATTTTAATGGGAAGGCGTTAGTTCCCATTTACAAGATTTTATAATCAATTTCAAAGGTAGAAGAATTTATTTTTTGCTTTTACAACTTACGTTTTTTTCTTCCAAAAAAAAACCAATAATACTATAAAAATTAAATTATAAATTTTAATTTCTAATAAATAAAATGATTTTACTTTTATATTAAATAATTATTTTAGAATTAGTACTGCATTTTAGTCATTTACTTTTATTTATAAATAAAAAAAAACAAATAAAAGAAAAGTGCAACAAAATCAACAATTGCAAGTAAGTCTATAACATTCTTTTTTAATAAACAAATAAAACCAACAAACAATTGCTTAAACAAAAATCATATTTTTTACTTTTTAATTGTTTCAAAATACTTCAAAAGTATTATTATTGTGCTAGATCTAATTTTCTTCCTCAGCTCTAACATTCATGAATTGTCAAAAAAATTTTATGAGATACATGCATACTTTTTGGAACAACAAAATTTTCCTCCATCTCCAAAAGAGAAACCATCCACTTAAATGTTCAAGTGAACAAAATTATCAGGTTTAATGTATGTTATAATATAATATTATATATGATTATCAATTTTTTTTTGTTTGTTATAAAGGTTACATGTGTATGGGTATTTCAATAAATTTTTTTATTTTTGTTAATATCATTTTATATTTTAGAGTTTGTTGTCCAGTACTGAAACTAATAGACTACGGATGAATTAGTATCAAACTTCAAGGATGCAGATGAAATTTATCTTAAAATTAACATAAACTTTTCATATTTACAATTAGGCCAATTTTGATATCTTCTTTGTATAATTATAAAGTTTAGGATAAGTACGCTTCTAAATATAAATAAATAAATTTAGGTTATGTATTTAAAAGATTAAGTTTTCAAAATTATCTACTCATAAAATTTTCGAATATCCTTGCAAAAAAAATTCTAAATGTCTTTTCTCCTAACTTTCCATTCATTGTGTAAATATGATGAGTGGATTAGCTCTTTGTGATTAATTTTAATATGCATGAGCTGTTATTTTTAACTTTTTTTTTTTTTTATTAGAATTGCGCTCATATCCCTTTTTTTTTTTTTTATAACTCTTCTCTGAACCAATTCCTCAATTTTTTGTCGATGAAATCCGCACATTAAATTTCACAAAATTTTAAATTTATGAAGTTATATACCTATGTGTCAACCTATTTTTTGCCTTTTGTTTTTTTTTGTTTTTGTTCTTTCATATGGCCAAATTCCTTGGGCTTTTGCATATGAAAAAGTGAAGAAAGAAAAGATGGAAAGACTGATAAGACAGAGAGTATCCGTTTCTAGGTTTACCTATTATATATCCATGATAAATATGAATTTCATTCATTTGTACTGCAATGATAAGAATAATGCTTCCATCGATGTTGAATTATGTATTTTCTTTATGTATTATGGATAACTTTATGAAAACATTCAGCACAATGACTCAGGACACAGGACAACTGATAGCAGATAAAACATAAGTTATTTCATTAAAACATTCTGCACATATGCACATATATACATATATATATGTATATATATCAGGTGCCATTTTATTTAACATAACTCGTTAAGCCTCTCAGCTATTACTTATATATACATACATATATATAAATATATTTATCAAGTGCCATTTTTTACCGATCTTGTAGCAATTTTAGTTGGGAAGCCAGACAAGGGTCTCTCTGACTAGGAAATGGCAAATGGGGACAGTTCCTGGCTTAACTTTGAGAATCTGAAAAGCCAAGTGCTTGGGGTTCCAAGTTGATGTATCTTTGTGACAAACAGCCAACCCCCTAGCTCTTGTCCCATCTGCCCCAACTAATGGAACCGTATACACAGCTGTTTTATCAATGGAATGGCATAAAAACACAGCATATGCATACTTCATCTTGTGACAAACGATCTCTGATTCTCCCATCATTTTCACTCCCTGCCCAATAGTAAACTCTTGGTTTTGTGTTTCTTTTTCCAATTCATTTGACAGAAGTTGGATGTTTTTTCCCAGCTTGGAAACACCCAAATCGACAAACGATTCAAATGATTTAGCACAATACTTTTCTTCTCCACCAAGGGCAGGTCTTTCACAATTCTCAATTGTTTCTTTGAGTAAGTTAGCTTCTGCTGATTTTGCTTCCAGTGAAAAATACTTCAAGATTTCCGGAATCTTTTGGGTTGAAAAGGGGATCGACTCTGCAACTGAACGTGGTAGGAATGTTGCTTTGCTTGCTTTTTTGGTTAGGTCCTTTAAAATCATCGTCCTACCAGGATGCAGCTCGCTCTCAAAAAAGTAGACATCTTTGTTGGTTGGGGCGTTTCCATCTGCAAATTCCTTGCTTGGATTTCCATATCCATAATTTGCACGGTCGTCTACTACTTTATCATTGTTCTTAACCATGTCACCCAACATGTTCTTGCTTCCTGAATTTGATTTCAAAAAGACTTCAATTTAGAATCCTAAGTGAAAAGAAATTCCAAGTACTTCAACTGTTAATTATAAATAAATTTGAAGAACCATTGAATAATTTAAACTATTAAAGAAAAGAATTTGATTTAGATTTAAATCTCATAAACTAATATTTACCCAAACTTTAATAAAAATCAGAATTTGTTGAATTTAATGGATCATACCAGACCTATACAGGATTGAGCCGGGCATAAACAGGATATTAATAGGTTTTAAGCTTTCCAAATCCTACTTGGCCTGAAAGATAGGATTTATTTTGCTACCCAGGTTGGACCTTAAATGAAAATAAGTTGCTCATACCAGCCCACATTTCAATTTTTTTAAATAGAAAAATAAAAATAAATTGCATAATACTATTAATTATGAAAAAATTAATAATCAATAAAATTAAATTAAAAAAATGTGTCTTTCATGTATAATTAATTATCTGTTGATAAAGTACTGATATAATTAATTATTTATTAATAAAATTATAATTAAGATATTACATTAAAAATTTTTAAAATTTAAATATCACATTAAATATTTCACTATATTTTAAGGATCATTTATAAAACTAACTCTTTTGTAAATAAACATTAATGTTGGTCTGTGTCGTTGTCACCTTTGAATTCCTTGCTTGGATCTGAATATGCATAATTCCCAAAGCCGTCTGTTGGTTTCTTATCATCCTTAACCATGTCTGCCAACATGTTCTTGGTTCCTGAAGCTGATTGGGAAAATATCAGAACAATAATCCTAAACGAAAAGAAATTCCAAAATTTCAACAGTTAATTAGAAGAAGCATTGAATAATTTAAGGGAAAAAAACTTGATTAATTATATATAAAACTTTTGTATTTTAGATTTAAAACGCGTAAACTAATATTTACCCAAACTTTTATAGCAATCAGAATTTGTGAAACTTAATGGATTATACTAGATCTATACATGGATTGAACTGGGTCTAAACAGGATATTAATAAGTTTTAGGCATTCCAAATCCTACTTGGCCTGAAATACAGGTTTTATTTTGCTACCCAGGTTGAACCTAAATAAAAATAAGTTGTTCATACCAGCCCACATTTCAATTTTTTTAAATAAAAAAAATTGTATAATAATATTAATTATGAAAAAATAAATAATCAATAAAATAAAATTTAAAAAATGTGTCTTTCTTGTGTAACTAATTCTCTGTTGATAGAGTGTTAATATAACTAATTATTTGTTAATAATTTAAATGTATACACTCATAAGATATCAATCTTCAATAATTTTATATGATGTTTATCCCATAAAATCATACAATTTTCTTACATATTTTTTTCATATCTAACTCTATGAAAACTTCACCTATTTATAATCATACAAATTTACTTATCAAAAATTCATTTCATCATAGAATTCTTCTCATTCAAGTCTTTTTATTTATCAATTTATATCTAATCAATTTTCAATAAATATTTCAAGATTTGAGTCATTATTCTCAATAAATATAATATTTTATCAACAAACCACTATTGGTCATTTGTCACTAGTAATAGATAGTTTCAAGAAAAAAAATATCTTTGAAATATAGTTCAAATATTTAAAAACAAACCAGCTAGAGGTAAAAGATCTCTCAATGCTTTTGGCATTGGAGTATTTGGGAACACAGACTTCCAATAATCCTCCTCAGGTACAGCACCATGACTTCCTGCACCAAGCTGCCAAAGTTTTGAGGAATTTCCATTAGCTTCACTTATTATAGAGTGACTGAAGTAAATATAAGGACCAAAAAAATTAAGCAAATGTAATAACAGATACTAAATATCGCTGAGCTGAGCACTGAAGCCTCAAATTGAGTAAAGCGAAGAGGAGAAGGTAATGAAATGCCATTGAAGCAGAGAAATGCTGTGACAGGCTTGGATATGAAATGATGAACGTTGGTGGATGTGTTTATATATACATGTAATTAATGTTTTTCAGATTTTATTTTATATATGGATATAGCCACGAAATTTCCAATTGATGTAATCTAGACTACTAAAACAATCGGATGCAGAATAAATAATAAATAAGCGATATAATTGAGGCTTGTTTGGAAAATATTAATTACAGCGTTTTGGTTATACCATAAACTGATTGGGATTATCGCAATATCGAATATGCAAACAAACTTGGGAAATTGGGTCACTATCAACTTGAGAAATAAATGAAACTTAAGGGAAAAAACCAAAAAAAAAAAAAAAAAGAATTCCAGGGGATTATAGGTTACATCTATCAAAATTAGATTAATCAACCAAGATTCAAGAGCATCTAAGGTTGGAGATATTCAGTTAAATTACTTCCTCAATTATAGATACGGAGGCAGAGAAGATAGCATAAATTTTGATATAAGGTTCAGCTCAGGCGATATTGCTCCAGATCAAAAAGGTGTAAATGATCCTGAGTTTGGTGCTTATCAGTTTGGTAATAATTCAGGCAAAGAATCCAAAGATGAAGATGCTCCAACCAAAAATGATGCAGAATTCGGTGCATATATGCCTATGATTCTGAATACAAAGGTTCCATGAAAGAATCTATAGCTGATAATACTCCAAACAACAAAAGGGGCCAATGTTCCAGCTAGAATTCCAAGACTATAAATATGATCTTAGATGTTGCATTTATTTGGTAAAGTTATTTTTGGTGATATAGATTATATTTAATTAATGTAGAATTTTATATAAATATATAAAATTAAAAAAAAATTCAATGTAGATGATTTTTTTTTTTACACATGGATTACTTAACTTGATGTCACGTGACATTAATTAATGCGAATTAATTATTAGTTTTAAAATACTTAATAAGTAACAAATTAATTAAATTAATTTATAAAATTAGCTAGCAAAATTTTTTGAATCATACTATTATTATTTCAATAAAAATGAGATTTTATTTAAATTTGTTTTATTTTCATGATCTAATTTCAAGTATGAATATCCTTTATTTTTTGCAATATTACTAAAAAATATATGATAATTTAATACAAATTTCAAATTTCAAAACCTAAATAAGTAAATAATATCTATTACCGCTCAAAAATTAATGCAAATAAGAGGTGTTCATGGGTCAGACTAGGTCAAATTCGAATTAGGCTCATGATTGGTATTAATAACTTATATGCTTATCAAAACTTGATTTAGTCCGAAATTTCAAGTCTAAAAACTTTTTCAAGTCCAGTCCAAATCTTATATAAATATATAAAATTAAAACCTTACGTAAAAACAAAAAATGTGGATGGTTAATTTTTTAACACATGGATTGCTTAACTTGATGTCACGTGTCTATTAATTAATACGAGTTAATTATTAGTTTTAAAATACTTAATAAATAACAAAATCAATTAAATTAATTTATAAAATTGGCTAGCAAAATTTTTGAAATCATATTATTACTATTTGACTAATAATGAGATTTTATTTAAATTTGTATTTTTTTTATAATCTAATTCCAAGCTTGAATATCTTTTATATTTGGCAAAATTAATGAAAAATATATAATAATTTAGTTACAAATTTCAAATTCAGAAACTTAAAGAGTAAATAGTATATAGATTACTATCCAAAATTAATGCAAATTAGAGGTGTTTATGGGTTAAGCCAAGCCGGGTTTAGATCAAGTTCATATTTAATATTAATAACTTATATGTTTGTTCAAACCCGGTCTAATCTAAAATTTTGAGTTTCAAAATTTTTTTAAGCTTAGTCCAAATCTTATATAAATATATAAAAATCAAAACCTTATATAAAAAAGGGAAAAAATCACTATGGATGGTTTTTTTTTTTACATGAATTGCTTAATTTGATGTCGCGTGTATTAATTAATGCAAATTAATTATTAATTTTAAAATACTTAATAAATAACAAAATCAATTAAATTAATTTATAAAATTGGCTAGCAAAATTTTAGGAATCATATTATTACTATTTCATTAAGAATGATATTTTATTTAAATTTGTATTATTTTTATGATCCAATTCCAAGTTTGAATATCCTTTATTTTTGGCAACTTTAATGAAAAATATACGGTAATTTAATTACAAATTTCAAAATTTAAAACCTAAAGAAGTAAATATTATATATATTATCGTTTAAAAATTAATACAAATTAAAGGTATCCATGGATCAAGTCGGGCTAGGTTCAATTCGAACCTTACTCATACTTGATATTAATAGCTTATATGCTTATCTAAACCCGGCTCAGTTTGAAATTTCAAGTTTTAAAAATTTTCAAGCTCGGTTCAATTTAAAAAAATAAATCCTAAACCTATCTATTAAATTTAATTTATATAATAAAAAATTAAAAAATGTGATTAAATTAAATATAATGGAATGAAATTTAATTCATTTATATGTAAAAATTAAAAATAAAAATTATATAAAAATAAAAATTAATTTTAATAAAATATATAACTTTTATTTTTAATTTATATATGTGAAGTAATTTATATATAATTCATATATATATAAAAATAAAAATTTTATATATGTGAATTCGAGTTAGGTCGAGTGAGCTCGGATTTTAAATCTTTTGTTCAAAACGTGGCCTAAAATTTAAAAGAGCCTAAAAATTATGCCTAAGCCTGTTTAACGAGTTTTAATTTTTTGTCCAAACCCTTTCAAAACTTAGGTAAACCTTTGGGTTTGGGCTGATAGTTCGACCCTTGAACAGGTCTAATGCAAATCATATAAACTTGATTTTATAAATATTTTCATGTCACAAATTTTAAAAAAAAATCCTTAAATAGTATTTGTTACTTGCCTTATATAAATAAGTTTAAATCAAATTGTAATCAAATTTATTCTCTTGTTATTATTTATCTTAAATCACTTTCAATTAAATTAGATTCCTAATTTTAAGATCCAATTCATTATAAATAGGAATAACTTTGGTGTGTTAGAGTATTGGTTTGAAAATCTAGTTCAATACTTTTATTTTATTTTGCTTCTCTTTTTATCTTTTTATTTGTTCCATTTGTTTGTTTATTTATTTATTTGTTTTTATATTTAATTTTTACTTTTTTAATAAATTAGTTTTCAATTTTTACACAAGATATTAGGTATGTTTTAGTCTCCTGTACTATCCCATTTACAAGTAGAATTTCCACATTGCTTTATATTTAAAATAGAGATTGGTACATTATAATTACTAATGAAACCTAACTGGTGAAGAATCATTTCTAAAATGACCATTTATATTGTCAAAACCATATTAGGTTTTCAAAATACAATCAATTCTTTACTTTATTTATACCTTCTACTCTTCTATAGATCGCATCTATCGAGCGCATTTGCAATAATAAGTGAGAGAGAAAACATTATTATTTGGAGGCAAAGATGTAAACAATAAATGAATTAATTAGTTTTAGTTTTTAGTTTTTATGGATAGATGTATATATACTTTTGGATAAATATTTGTTACATAAGTTTTTTGTCCTTTCAATTGTTGTTTAATGGTTTTGTTGAATATATATACATTTTACACTTTTTGTTGTATATTAAGATATGAAAGGAGAAAATAAAGATGAATGAAATCTATCATTTTTTTTTTTTTTGGACAAATACCTTTAAAGCTAACAAAATAAATTGAAGAAAGATAACAATGCAAATTCATGAAAAATGAAAATTTTTGTTATAAAAATGGATGTGGTAGAGTTTCCAAGGCATCTAAGATTGTCTCGTAAATAAAATTCTATTATATTTTTTCTTTTATAAATATGTTATTCTATTAATATTATTTCTTCATTTTTTTTCTAGAAATCAATATTATTTCTTCTTTTTTAATTGTAAACACATAACTTTTAATTTTTTTTATATATTCCTAGTTAGAAAACATTATTTATGTTTGATGTGCAATAATATTCTTTTTGTCATTAATTTGTCACGTATAAATTGATTTGGTCCAATAATTAAAATTTTAGCATTTATTTGTAATTTATAAATTGATTTAGTCTAATAGTTAAAATTTTTTGCTAAATTCAAACCTAAAATTATAATATAATTGAAAGAATGTGACATAGTATTATATGTAGACATTAAATTTTATTCGAAATATTTTAACACAGTTGATCAGAGTCCATTTTTGAATATGGGCTAGAAACATAAATATGGGCCTATTTCATGATTCATTATAAAGGTCCATTATGTAATATATTTTTAAAAGCTCGATAGTGATCCATAAAATGGTGTATTTTCAAGCTCAATTAAAAACAACTCCTAAAATGGCCCTAAAGAAATTTGAACCCAAATTTATCCTTAGAGATGGCCTAAGTGATAATGGCTCAAAAAAGAAAAAGAAGACAAAGGACACAGGCCATAAAGCCTTGACAGAGGCTTGGGTTGCATGAGAAGGGAAAGTTAAGATTGAAACCAAAAGAAAAAAAGAGAAAGACGAGAAGTCTGAACCTCGTCATTCTTTACATGACTAGTGCACGGAGTGGACAACCAAGCGGGACAGGGCTGATGGCACCTGTAGCAGACAAAGTCAGGAGGATTAGTGGCTAGCCAAAGCAGTTATCAAGAAGTGGGACTGAAAAGAAGAAGACAAATGACAAGCCTTGGTGAAGAAGGCTTCCATTCATTATAATACTGAATAAGGACTGCTGAAAAAAAAGGAAGGAAGGCTAAAAAAGAAAAGGAAAAAAGAAGCAAAAAAGAAAAGAAGACACCTTGTGAAGCCGAAAAGAAAGAGTGCTCAGCCGGATAAGCAAAGAATCAAAAACTTTACAAAGTTTTGAAGAAGAGAAGCGGTTTGGTTTAGGCGTAGCAAAAAGAGAAAAGCCAAAAAAAAAAAAAAAAAGAGAAGAGGCAAAACCAGAAACGAACAAAAGAGGAGAAGGCTCAAGCAACCATAAAAGGAAGGGTCTCTT